ATCTAAGTTTTTGTTAAGCAAAGTATAATTGCGCCACACAATCAATATAATTACTGTTGGATATGAAGGTGCATTTTATTTTAAGTCAAACAGGGGAAGTCTGAATTCAAATTCATTCAATGTACCTGAATATATCGGACCACAGAACTGTGGTCTGAAGGATGTCTGTGTCCTTTCAGCTGCTTCCTTTATTTAGGGGTCACCGCAGCAAGTCATTACAGCTTGCACACTGACAATGCAGAGTTTTCCCTCCTTTTTTCCTTTACTGATGCAACTGACACAGTGCTACACAGCAGAGGGGCCCTCTGAGAACTGAAAGACGGTTTTGAAAATTTCAGGTTTTCACTAATTTAAACCCTTAAAATCTAACAGATGCATATCCCATAGTTTGAGGCTCCTACAAAACAACTTTGATTCAAAGTATAAATGGAAAGAAGATTAGGGAACTGCTGTCAACCAGACACAACATAGCTAATCCATTCCACAGACAAATATATCGTTGTTTGATTTTAGGGTGACCTATTTTCTTTTCATGATAAAAACAAATTTTCTAACAACTGAAATAGTCAACATCTCCAAAAACTGCAGTTCTTAAAGAAAGCTTAAACGAAAGGCAAAACATACACACCAATTTAAAAAACCCACACTGATATCCATACATTTTTTCTTGAACGTTTGATGAGATGCTTAATTGGTTTATCCGACAAAGCCTCTGATTGGTCAGCTGATGTGATATATTGAAAAAGTGGGAATAGCAATAAAATTAGATTTAAATTCAAAAATACTATATTAATCTTAAAGGGAATTTAAATGTTGCAATAACTCAAAAGTCCCCCAAAGTCCCTCAAAGTCACCACTATGGAATTCTTGATGAAATTAGTGAAAAGAGGGGAAAAAAAGAGCTCAAATAAAATAAAAATATCTCAGTGTCTTTAGGCCTCTTTAAACATTAAAAGTATGTTGTTATGTTTTATACCTATAGATAAATAAGTGATCAAGCTTGAGTTCATTGCAAGGGTTACCAGAGAAATAACTTCTTTTTTTCTTCTAGAAAGACTGAACGATTTAGGGTTAGAGAAGTGCATTTAAATGAAAAAGTATGCCTTCTAAAGCAATGTTTTGTTGTATTTGGACAACTGAGACCAAGTAGAGATTATTAGAAATATATCACAGCCCCCTGGCCTCAGTTCTGTCAAACATGGTGGACAAGGACATTTCAGATTTTTGGGTTTGCTACCATTGAACCTTGGCACCTCACATTCAGTCTTAGTGTTCACAATAAACTTGTACTATACTCTATATACCACATTACTTTGGAGTCAAATATAAATAGACAGAGATCAGCATTTAAAAGCAGTATTGTTGCTGCTAATCTGAGGTTTGATGTATTGGATTAGTTGGTTTAGCAGTAAAAGATCATCTTGGCTCTGTGGGTTCAATCAGTTGGCAGCCCTTTATAACTGACTAAACTCATCACTTTTTGGTGCACAACATGCTGAAGCCTCAGCAAATTGTTGGGCATAAATTTCAATTTCTGCCTCAGTAAGCTTCTCTTCCCTTAGTGGGGAATTGGTAAAGGTTTGTTAACTGTAATAAGTTGAGTGTATTTTCTGATGTGTTGTGGGAGATAGTTGTGAATATGCAAACCTTTTCTGTATTATTTTTTTCAAGTTGCCATTATTAAACGCTTGATTCTTTTGTTGCATGTGCACGTCTTATAAACCCACCTTCCTTTTACATAGTCTTTAGGTCTCATATATAATTCTCCTACCTTGCTGCTTTTAACCTCCTTCCTTTCTCTCTCGTCTCCCGTCTTCAGGCTTTAGCTGATTAGAGTGGCCCAGCTTGCTTTGATTAATTGGATGAGCCTTGTCTCAATGCCAGTCTCCTCTCCGCTGCTCTCCTCTTGTCTCCACGCCTATTCTTGTCCACAGGCAGCTTAAACAAACACAAAGCTTTTAGATGAAAGTAGCACTTTGAAGACAGGGACCAACTAAAGCTGCGGGTGAGCCCTCCAACATAAAGAGATCTGCTTCTAATGATGAATTCAGCAAGAGCCGTGGAAGGTTTTTTTCAGCCTGTGTGTAGTACTTCATTTAAAGGCGCTGTAGAAATGAGATGTTGGTTAGCTTAAAGAATTAGTTTATTTGGGGAAAAAAATTTGCAAAGAATATTGAAGTACGTGCTAAATTCTATTTATCTACCCTTGTAATTGAGGCATGTTGTTTTTTCTACCAGAACTCCTTATTTGCGTGATTGAGAGTGCAAAGCTGTATCTCATTTGTCTTTTCGCTGCATCCTGCTAAACTGACTCCATGAAATCATCGGGCCATCAGTCTGCCAACCCTGTCAACCTTCTCCATGTTTTTAAATTGTCCTTCAGGCTTTGGGCACAACAACAGCCACCTCCATCACCGTGGCCCCTTCTTCTAGCCCATTTGTCTCCTGTGTCTTATCTCTTCTCCTTTATTTGCACACATCCCTGCCTCTATTACCATTTCTCTCTCTGCAATTTCCATTCCCCTCTTTTTTTTAAAGGACTTCTTGTCAGAGGTTTGTCCATGAAAGGTCTTCTGACGGCTCCTCAAACCTGGCACCCCCCACCCCCGTCGTTTCTTTCCTTGTTTTCATTCTGCCTGATCTGCCCCTAGCAAAGCCAAGAATAAACCCACACACAAACACATGCAGAAAACCCTATTGTGCCACAATCAAGTTGAAAGGTTGACTGGGAAAGTCAAATGCTCTGTTATTTCATCCAGGCTAAATACAATCTTTGGAGATGTGGTGCCAACCAGAGAGCCCCCAGGGGCTCTGAGACTTTCTCTGAAATGTAGGCAATCACACTCACGAATGCTATGTTGTTTCCCTCCATCCCTCCTCCGTCTTCCATTACGGGCCATTTCTATGTGCACTCCAGAAGCCTGAAAGCCACTGGCTGTTTGCAGAGTTTCTGTCTCTGTGCACATTTGTGTAACATTAACCAGGGATGATGTTTCTGTACAACAGAAAAGGGTAAACAAGCACAAACATCTTAATAAGAGAGTATTTCATGCTGCAAATCCATGGCACCATGAATAAGTTTGTTTCTGCTGTTTTTGGAATTTGGTTAAAACTTTATTTCTCTTTTCTTAGAGCTCAGTATCCACTCTGTTTTAACATTTTGTGTTATATTTTACAATGCTTGCTTGGTTTTTGGATCATTGAAAGAGCAATGTCATGAAGCTCTGTATGGTTCAATTATTTTGGCGGTCTCTCCTTTCATGGAGATCAAACCATCAAATGCATTCCAATTATCATTAGCATTTTTCAATGTGTTCGCCCACTTTATAATCCTATCTGATAGTGTTTTGTCTCTTATCTAGACACCTTTGCTTCTGATTTGGTTGATTTGGTTTGCCTCGCAGTGTCTGGCATATTTATTCTACAATCACTGGAGAATGTCTTATTTTCCTATTAAAGGTCGACTTAAATAAATGGTCTGCCTGTTTGATTTAGCTCCACCGCTAATACTACGCTGAGACCGAACGCACTAGAGGCAGCTGAAGCAGCTAGTTTACAGGCAAAGTCAATGGTATTTCAAGTCAATCGCATAAAGGTGCCGCAAAACGTCCTGCAGCATCTGATTAGCTGAAGCAGCGCCTCATGAGGTTCAGAGCATCTAACGCAGCAGATGCTGCAAAAGCAGCAACTGCTGGAGATGAAAAAGTGAACTGTTGCTGCTTAATGTGCCACATCAACCAATCGGAGAAGCTGATCTGAGAGCTGGCAGGGAGACAGACACAGCACTGCTGATGCAGATCGCTATGATCACTCCTCTGAAACAGTTTATTATTGCCTAAATTGACTTCCGGGTAAATGTCGAAACCTGCTGGCAAAATATCTTATATTTTATTATTCTGGTGCCTGCAGTTTGGATTACGTACATGGAAAAACGACTTTCAGTCGCCGGGAACAGTAGCGGAAAACCCAGAAGGGGCGACCTGGTTAGAGGCTGCCATTGGAGGGGATTTACAACTGCGATAATAACATTTGAAGGCAGGGTGGTAATTATGAACTGACTGCACAGACGATATTTTCAGGTGGATTTTCTCACTCAAAAGCATATTAAAACTTCTTTTTACCCACTTATAACAGTAAATATAGCAAAAAGCTCTCTGCCATTGAACACAGGAGCAGCAGAAGCATCAGATGCATCTGGACACACTTTACTGGATGCGCTTCAGGAGCATCAAAGATGCACTTGAGGCGCATCTGACATCAATGTGCACAAGCATCAAAAATGAAGCAGCAGAAGCCTTTCTTGCTGCTTCCAGCGCTTGCAGTCTGAACATAGCACAAGCCTTGGAGTAGCCCCCAACGTAGTGGACATAAACAAGAAACTCCAAATTTTCACAAAGATTCAAGTTTGTTTTGCTTACTTTTGCCTCAAAAGTATCTCAGCTTTACTTGACAGGATGTGTTCAACAAACAGGTGTTCTAATAAATCAAGGCCTCATCTCCTGATGTAACTCAGTCAGGTATGCCAAATGATATTGCCCAATCATCTCTAAGGATAGCCAAACCTGTAATCAAAACATTCTCTATAGACATGGTAGCAGTCTTTTTCCCACTTTCATCATATCTTCATCTTCATAAGACACCTTTTTGGGGTTGGGGTGAACTACAGCTCACCTGTTGATGAACAATCTCCTTAAACTGATGTGTTCTGCAGAAACCCATTAATCTTTTTGCCATACTGTGGTGAGTAATTGAGTTTTTCTACAGACAAGTGTGAGAGAGAGCGTGCTGACCCAGCATGCCAGCTTCATCTATACATAATGAGGGCTAATGGGTCAGAGAACACGGACATACTTCTCCAGTCCCTTTACATTAGTACTGTTCTCTAGAGATTTTATCCCATCCACCATAACTTCCTGATGCTCCTTGCGTTCATTTAAAGTATGTGATGAACTGTGTTTTGATAACTGCTCCATCCTCTTGCCTCCCTCTGTCTCCTCCAGGCTGTGAGCCCTGTGAAGGGGGATGATGAGCAGTCAGGGCAGCAGCAGAAAGGGAAGTGGCCAGCATGCTGACACTCCTCTTCGTCAGGCACCAGGACCCAAACTGCAGGTGCAGCGTTCCCACTCTCGCGACACTATCACCATTCACTTTTCTGCTCTGGGAAAGGAGGAGGAAGATGAGGAAGAGGAGCTCTATAGTTTATCTGTTGGATGTGAAGCAGGAGCTCAAAGCCAACCCACCAGGACTGATGAGCAATGTGCGGCAAAAGGCTTTGAGGCAAAGGTGGAGAAAGGGTTTGAAACTGTGGAGGAGGAGATCTCAGCAGCTCATGTACCTGCTGCCTCTGCTCTCCTGCCTGAGCAGCCTTTGGATTCACATCCACAAACATCTTCTTTTGCAATTACTGCTAATCCAGTTTCAGCCCACTCCCACCTGAGCTCCCCTCCTCCTGCCAGCTCCTCCGGGCCATCAGATCACCCAACCCAACCACCCCTGATTAGTTCCGCTTCTTCTTCTCCTTGTAAGTCTGCAGCCCTCTCCTCCTCCAAGCCTTTTCTCAGCCTTGTTAGATCTTTGTCAAATGATGTCGAATCTCGAGAAACTGCTCCTGTAATCGTACCCCCACATGCCCGACACAGACACTTAATGAAATCGTTTGTTAAGTCTCTCTCGATGGACACTTCAAAGGGTGAACATCAGGAAGGGCCTCTTCAACACCCTCCTCAGCACCAGCAGATACAGCCAACCCACCGCGCTCCGCCTCGTAACATGCAGCTTTTCAAGCAGTTCTCTCAGCCTCGCTTGTCCTCCTGCCCCGTTGCAGTCACTCAAGCAGGTGGAGACTCCAAAACAGCCCCCTCTTCTCCTATTATGTCTCCAGATGGGAGATCTTTCTTCAAGGTCCAGGAGGTGGAGGCCAGGATAGAGGATACCAAGAGGCGGTTATCGGAGGTGATGTCGGACCCTTTGCAGCTTTTTAGTAAAATTATGGGGGATGAGTCTGGTGTGGGAGCTGCTGGGAGTGCAGCCCATCGGGCTAAATCCCTCTCATCCAGTGCATCAGAGCTCAGTGGAGTAACTGCCGTAAACGGGCACACAGAAGCTAACAACAACTATAGCATCAAAGAAGAGGGCGCCGAAGGGGAAGAAGAAGAGGAGACTCCTACGGAAAAGGGCCCCGACTCGTCCTTTTTCTCTTTCCCATCACTTTCACTCGCACCAGCTCTTACCCAGGCTTCTTCATCCACCCTCCACAGGTCTCCTTCTCTCACTCTGGGACGCTGTTCCATGTCAGCCCTCGTGGCTCGACAGGAAGACGAGGACTTCTGTGAACTCTACAGCGAGGACTTTGAGTTGTGTACAGATACCGAGACACCAGAAGGTGAACAATCCATGTTGCAGCAGCCCCATACTGGAAGCACTGGCTTGGGCAGGGAACTGGACGTAGAGGATGGGAGACCTGAGGAAGAAATGGAAAATGTGCCTGTGGTTGGCCTCGTCTTCTTAACACAGTTGTTGTATTGTTACTTCGTCCTTCCAGTGCCTCCATGTGTTTGTTCTGTGCTGCATGGGATAGCTGTTGGGTTTATTCTTGCTCTGCTGGTTCTTTGGCTCTCTGCTCCTCGGTGCTCCTCCTTAGTGACCAGAACAGGGAGATGGAGGAAAGACCAGCGGAATATTTCCCAGCTGGATGTAAAAGAACCAGGAATATTCAAGGTAAGGTTCAAGCAAAGCATTGCACTGATACCCACCAAAGCTATTCAAAGGGCTGCTGGATGAAAACTATGAGACATTATTGCTTAGTGCTGGGAGCATTTAGATACATATTGTTGCTCATTTGAAGATACAGTAGGTTAGTATAGGGATAGAGCTGTACTGGAAGGAAATCTGTTTTTTATTTTTTATTTTTTTATTAATAGCTTAAATATGTCTCAGTGAAAAATCACTTTGAGGCTATTCTATTGTACTTCCTACTAGGAAGTCTATGAAGTAATATTTCCTCTTTACTAGCTTTCACTGTTTTGAAAAAGAAATGGCAGAAAAGAGTTGAAGAACGTTGTCAGAGCAGCAAAACTAGAAAAAATTATGTTTAGATCATTTCCAAGGCTTATTTCAAACATAGCATGTTCAGCTGTTTTCCTGAGAGGCTCACATTTTGGATTTTGCTTCACACTTTCTTCCCTCTCTCATTGTAACATAAGGTTTTTTTTTGGAGGACCCACAGTTTCCCTCTTATGACCTAAATAAATAAGCGTTTTTCTTTGCCTTTTGTTTGGGTACTTGGGTGTAATATGAGAATGAAATTGTATCAGACATCATAAAGGGAGTAATAAACATTTGATCAAAGCATCACCACATATATTTAATCATCTCATACATAAAACATACTTAAATAAAGTCTGCAGAGAACTAGAGGAGAAATGCTTAGTTCTTAGACTGAGTTATGTAAGCTAGTAGGTGCCAAACATGTTGAACAGAGACCCTGATAGCTAAAGGGCATAGCTGTTCCAAAACTGGAGCTCTTTCGGTATGTTGAACGTGATACTTTATAAGAGAATCAGCAAGAGGGATTCACTTTTTTATTTATTTTTCACCTGAACAACTATTATAACAATGATTTTATATCATTCTGTATAAAAATCTGCTCTGGTTTTCATGTACATACAGGAACACATCTATCTGTCTGTCTTTTATTAACTAACCATTTTTTTGATTCTCAATTCCCTCAGGGTTGGATGAATGAGATCCACAGCTATGACCCAGAGATGTACCATGCCACCCTGACCCACTCCATTTATGTCCGCTTAGAGGGCTCCGTCCTGCGTCTGTCCAAGCCCAACAGGAACATCTCCCGCCGTGCCGCACACAACGAGCCAAAACCCGACGTCACTTACATCAGCCAGAAGATCTACGACCTGACGGACAGCAGGGTGAGCTTTTCCTTTTTCTAACCACTGGAACTGTGAGTCTGTGTGTCAAGAAGACGTGAAACACGCATTTACTTCCCATTGGGCTTTTGTGTTTGATGATAATCATAACAGATGATGTCATAGAACAGATGCCATCTCTAATAGGCTTGACTGTATTTACTAACTGGCCACAGTCATTGATAAATCTACAAATCTTTTATGTCTAAGTTTGAAATTACATACAACATATCACTAAACACAATTAGGTTACAGTATATTACCGGTAGCTTACATTAGTTTAGACAACAAATGCAGAACTTAAGATATAAACATTACAAGCTGAGTCAGGGCAGTTTCTTTTAACAAAACTAAAGAATTGGGCAGAATTGTGTGAAAACAAGGGAATACTAAGCAAACAAATAACTAATGCAGCACAGATCTTGCTTAAAAGTTAAGTGCAATTAGGATTTTATCCATAGTCTTAAGCACCGAGGGTTCATCTGGACCCAGGGAGTTGATGAAAAGCCCTGATTCTCATTCCAGATCTGCAAACAAGGAGTTCTGAGATAAAGGGAGAAAAACTACAGTCTCTGTTTTAATAAGAAAAGCTTAGGTCATTTTAGGCTACTAATGCGATTGGTCCTGCCAATGTACATCACATTTCCTCTGCCTCAGCTTTTTCACTCGGTTCCTTGAAAATATTTCAGTAGAACTAGATATCAGTAGTCAGTAAACAAAAAAGAAAGAAAAACTTAATTTAAATTCTAACTCTTTTAATTTGATTTGTGTCTTTTTTTTAAAATGCAAATAGATCTAAGTTATGGGCGCTTAGATTCTTGTTGCCCAAATAAAATATCTATAGAAAAGTGGAATTATACAGGATGTAAGCATAGGTCATGTAAAAAAAAGCAGAAATGCTAATTTATAAGTACTAAGATAGTTTTTTTTTTTTTTTTTCAAGGCATTGCATACGGTAGCATGATGGGTAAAAGCTAAAAGGAAAGAATCACAAGGAAGTATTTCCGTTGGCAGACATACTATTGGCAATGATTACTTCTGCATTTGTAAACCTCTGAATGTTCTGATCAGCACCAGTGGAGACATAATCCAAGAGTGGAAAGAACATTGTTGGACTTAAAACCAGCCCAAGGCGGATGGACCTCCTAAGCTTCCTAAGAGAGAAGGGACATTTATAAAAGATGTCAAAGAAAATCTGCTTTGAATTTAATGTCAAACGAAATATTATAGATATTTTTTTACCAGGGAAAAACCTTTAAATGTGCACTACTTAATTAACTCTGTTAACCTGGGTTTGATTCCCAGCCCAGGAGTCTTTCTGCATGGAGCTTGCATGTTCTCCCTGTGCATGCATTGGTTCTCTCCGGGTACTCTGGCTTCCTCCCGCAGTCCAAAAACATGACTGTTAGGTTAATTAGCTTCTCTAAATTCTCCTTAGGTGTTAGTGTGTGCGTGAATGGTTGGTTGCCCTGCAATAGACTGGTCACCTGTCCAGGATGAACCCCGCCTCTTGCCCATTGACAGCTGGAGATAGGCATCAGCACCCCTCGCGACCCCAGCAGGGATAAACAGGACGGAAAATGGGATGGATGGATGTTCAATTTAGATTTTGCATGTCTGAACGGACCTCATAAATGTGTTTTTTGTAATATTCGAGCTCTACAATAGTATCTAGAGGGTTTAGACTGTGTGAGGCAGAGACAACTCAAAAGAAAGTTCTCTAAAAGCCAGTTGCATAAAAGGAGAAAGTAGCAGCAGGGGAAAAGCTCCTTTTGATGCTTCTAAGTTCTGTACTATCACTTACAAACAGAACACCAGGATAAATAAACATGTAAAACTGAGGCAGAGACCAACTTACTTGGAGTCATTGGATCTCTCTACGACTATGGCTGGAAAGCTTTGAAGCTTTTGTTTTTCGGATAGTGGACTGAATAGCTCTTCAAAGCATTTTTGGCATTCTGTTCCCCCTGTTCCTGGGCCTCATCTGCAATTATGTTGACTTTGGTTCAGTCGGTTGTGGCGTCAAATGTCTCTTGATTTATGTTCCTTGTAATTTATGATCCGCATCTTTAGAGTATGTTTAAAACAAAGATTGTATTTGGACTCAGCCAAAGAGAATGAGAAATAGAGGATTATTTTGAATCAAAAATTTGGAGGTTTCCATGGTATGTCGCAAAAAAGTTAGTACTTGGATGAGACAATTACCCATGTAACCCTGCAGAAGCCTTAAAGGAATAGTACACCGAAAACATGATTAGCCTTCATTTTCTACTCACCCCCATGCTGAACAACACTCTGGAGTACTTTTTTGATATCTCAAATGCATCTGGAGATCTGGGAGGCTTCTTGCTGTCTGCTGACATTCAAATAATGGAGGTCTGTGCCGCCCGAGGCAGAAAGGTCCATAAAAGTCCACAAAAAACGTGTCAATATTCCTCCATACTGCTCGTCCAATGTATTCCAAGTGTCCTGAGTGGGTAGCGTCCATAATTTACTCGAAACAAAGTCATTTAGAATGTTTTTAGAGCATAAACAGTAGTGTATAGGATTGCGCATTCAGCGTCTGCTCTGCCGATAATGCAAGAGTAGAAGAAGAAATGTGCTGTTTACCTGTGCAAAGAAAGAAACAACGAAAGAAAAATGTCTGAGGACTTCAGTGTTGAGGAAGAGCATGAGTTCTTTGCCGAGCTGAATGCGCACTTTCGTCTGGTTTGGTCTGCCGCGGTTTCCGTAGACTCGTGAACGCGCTTTTAGGAAATCCTATACACTACTGTTTATGCTCTAAAAACATTCTAAATGACTTCGTTTCAAGTAAATTATGGACGCTACCCACTCAGGACACTTGGAATACATTGGACGAGCAGTATGGAGGAATATTGACACGTTTTTTTGTGGACTTTTATGGACCTTTCTGCCTCGGGCACCATAGACCTCCATTATTTGAATGTCAGCAGACAGCAAGAAGCCTCCCAGATCTCCAGATGCATTTGAGATATCAAAAAAGTACTCCAGGATGTTGTTCAGCATGGGGGTGAGTAGAAAATGAAGGCTAATCATGTTTTGGGTGTACTATTCCTTTAAGCTAGAATAGATGTCAGACTAAAGCATAAAAGAAACACGTCATTTCTTAATTATTTCTCCTCAACCCAACAGATCTACCTGATGCCCCAGAGTTTGGCGAGGAAGAGGGTTTGGAACAAGAAGTACCCTATTTGCATTGAGCTGGCCAAGCAGGAGGACTTCATGTCTAAGGTGGAGGGAGAGCGATCTGAAGCTGGGGAGGAGAGGACTACTGGGGTGGGTGAGATGCTTGAACGAACTGATAAAGCTGAAAGACCTGAAGGTCTCTCATCAGCGGAGGAGCAGAGAAGACCGACCGCCGGAGGAGGGGATCTGACAATCTACTTGTTCGGGAGGACCGGTCGAGAAAAGGAGGAATGGTTTCGGAGGTTTCTCCAGGCATCCCAGATGAAGTCAGAGGGAAGAGGCAGCAGTCTGTCCAGCATTTGCAAGAGTGGTGAGAAGATTTTAACTGTCACACTGCTCCAACACAATCTGTGCGGGATTCTACAAGATGTAGCTTCCTCCAAAACGCAACCAATAATGAGAATCCCCATTATTTGGAGCCTGTAATTGAACTGTAATTAGATATGTGTGTAAGCCTCAGTTTAGGCACTAGCAATCCCCTGAACTGAGCAAACAGCAGAGTGTGAATGGGTCAGCAGGATTACAAGTGCAGCGGAGTAGCATATTATAACAGTGGTTCCCTCAGTGGGATATAAGCCGGTAAGGATAAGAAGAATCTCTAGCAGTGTGGGTGGGGGGAGTTGGGGTCGGGCAATATAGGCAGTACAGGTTGGGCTAAATGACAGTAGAGGATGATAAATATGATCTATTTCTGCTTTAATAGAAATTGATCATGCTAATTTGGTGCTGTAGTGTAATGTGAATAAGGAATACAAAAAAGACGCTAATTATCTCCAATCGTTAAGTTGTTAAATATGAATGAATGAATAAATCTAGCTCATGCAACATTTGTTTCATAATTCCTCGCTCCATGTTTTCTATTCCACTATTCCCACTTCCTCCTGCAGCCTTCCTGTCCACTCAGAGCCGCAGTGGCAGCATCCAGTCGGGTGGAGCCCCGGAGGCTGACAGCAGGGGCAGCAGCAGGGGAAGCCAGGAGGAGTTGTCTCAGCCTCGGCACAGAGAGACCCCTGCCTCTCTCTATGGGGGCTCAGCCGGAGGGATGAAGCAGAAGATGCTGTTGGACTATAATGTGTACATGGCCAAATACGTTAACCCTCAGGCTCCTCCTGGAAGCCCGAGTGCCGCCGACAGCCCCGTGCAGAGTCCTGAGAGCAGCCCTAAAACCACCAAAAAGGTATGAGGCTGATGGAGTCATTTGAAAATAAGAACAGCTTTAATCCCAATAAAGCCTTAATCCCATTAAAGAACTCTTATATAAATAAACATCTATTTCCTTACATTTAGAAGTGTAAATGTGTCTGATCTATTTCGATCAAGCTCAGTCAGCTGAAGGATGGACAGCATGGATAAAATACTCTAAACTGATCACTGACTTTAAAAACATCATTTGGGGGGAAACACTTAGAAATGTGTTTAAAATGCAAGGCCCGTGCTTCAGAGGGATGTACAGTGTTTGCACATCTGATACGTCTAATGCAGCAAAGAGGCAGTGACATTCCTTTCCTGATGAAAGAATCTGATCTTCAGACTGCAGTTTATTACAGGCAACCCACTGATAGGTGCAACTTCTGTAAAGTATGATGAAAACACCCTGCAGTTTTCATCCTTCCTGCCTGAAAAAGAGTCTTCTTCACAGCAGGCAACCAAGTATTTGAAGAATCTGCAGCATTGACAAAGCTTATTACGAAAAAATAAAAAATATATAGAGATAGAGGGAGAGTATGATGACCTGGTATTGAGGAAATCTTATTATAAATTGAAGTATTTAGGAATAAAACATTAGCCCCAAACATGCCTTTCATGGTGACTCAAACAGAGCATCAGATTTTCTCTGCTTTATCTAATCAAAAGATGTGTCATCACACATTGGCGCATCTTGATCAAAGATCTGACCAATGGCCACAGCTTCTTCTTCTTTATATTTTAGAGGAGATCTGTCTGTTAGGGCCGACCGTTGAACCGCACCCTAACAACTCAGTTACCTCAGGGTACTTTCTCTTGCTGTAGTTGTGCTCAGCGAAGTGCTATGATGAAACATCATTTTCACAATTCTGCTCCACCATTGTTTGCCCTTTCATTTAAAATCCCAATAAAATGCATTGAAGTTTGTGGTGTTATGTTTCTAAATGTGGAGAAAAAAACACCTTCATTAAAGCTTTTGGTTTCTTGTTTACTCACTTTGTTTCTTTTGGGTTAACTTTTTCCATAACAGGTCACTTTAGCGCCTTGCTCAAGCATGCTGTAAACAGACGCTGGCAGGGTAATCAGAGGTTGGCCGGGTCACCTCACTGCATGAAGGACTGCCTGTGGCTGCTTAATGCTGCATTTCATTTGTTATGCCATATTTTATATATATATATAATTTATTGAAAATCAGCAGCATTACCTTATTTGGGATGTACCTGTCCTTTCATGTGCAAACACAGAGTGCCTGAGGCAGGAGAATCGGCAGCAAAGAAGCAATGCTAAACAAAGATGCGATCAGTTTGATGAGGTAGAGTTGGGTTTGCAGAGGTAGCCAGAGAGCTGAGATGGGAATTGTCTTCAAAGAGGAGAAATTATGATGTGTGACAGCACAGGCGTAACTTTCTGAAGGACTGGTGTGGACATGTCCCCACCAATAATCAAGTGAGAATGCATTAATGCATTGTTTCTCCTGTGTCGTTTTTCTGTCTCTTAAGCAGTGCTGCATACTTCTGCAGATTTTAACAATTCTGGTACCAAAACCTTCAGCTTCTTCTGGAGGGTTATGTTATGTCTCTTGGTCATTTCAATTATTATAATTTTTTTAATATTAAGCATTTTCTGGCCCTGAGAAATTAATGGAAAACTTCAAAATTTCAGCTATTTTGCCCTTTTTTGTTTCCAAGTTTAGCTTATTTCTGTAAAAACGTAATGTCCATATTTTACATGACTTCAATTTTTCAACACTTTAATCAAGTTTCTTATGTAGCACTAAGCTGCTCATTCAATACCGCATTCCTCAACATTTTAACCAAACCTTTATTTCTTCAACCAGATAAGATTCAAGTTTTTCTTGCAATTTTCTTTTCTGATTCTGCTGATTGAATAAATTTTAGCCTATATTTTCAAAACTGGCTTAATTCTGCAATTTTTCTGGACAAGCATTAAGCTTTTCTGTTTGCTGCTAATTCATAACATGTCCGACGTGTTTCTGCTGTCGGCTTCAGCTTGCTTCTGCTTTTTTTCCAATAAAGAAATCAAGCATTTATCTTTTCTTCTATTTCATGTCATTTCAGTGGTTTCTGCCATTTTGAGCAGCATTTTCACAGCTGTTTGGAGCAGCTATTTTTCTAGTTTCAATAGACTTTGGCTCTCAGCAATATGTGGGACAAATTTCTAAATTTGATTTTGCTGCTTTTGAAGGAGGATAATCACATATGTAGCTGAAAGGAAAAACATCCAATCAATTAATCCACATTTTTTCTGGATGGATTGATGAATTAAACTGAAATTGTGTGCATACTAGGGAGGCATGATATATTGCTGTTGGCATTATTCATCCTTTTCTTTTAATATAAATTAATGTCTAACTACCCATAAATATAAATATCAGTGTATTTTGGTTCTATTGTGTTCTCAACAATATAAAAGCATTCAATAAATGTATGTTTGAGCTGAATTTAGGAAAATACAAACCCTACTGAAAGCGTTTGTGTCGCATAACTGTAGGTCGATCAGCTTCCACCCTTAGATTGTCCCCACCAACCTTCATTGCAAAATTACACCCTTGTGTGACAGATTTAAAAAAACAAGACAAAAGCTGATGTGTGCATGTCCTTCAGCTACCCAAGAGTACGGAGGAGGCTGCAGAGCCCGAAGCCTGGGTCAATGCCTTTCTGGGAAGGATATTCTGGGACTTCTTGCGAGAGAAGTACTGGGCCGACGTCGTCTCCAAAAAGATCCAAATGAAGCTCAGCAAAATCCGGGTGAGCAGTGCTACGCAAATAAGTTGAACAAGCTGAAGCAATTCATATGATAAACACAACAATCTGTTTGTATTCATTAATAAGCCGTCAACTGTGTTAATGTGTGTTTTTCATCTCTTGATCTCCTAAACTGATGCCTGTGCCTCAGCTTCCATATGTGATGAATGAACTGACTCTAACAGAGCTGGATATGGGGTTCTCAGTTCCTAAGATCCTCCGTGCCTCCAAACCCTCAGTGGACCACCAAGGTACGCCAGAGAATAGAACAGATGTGGAGCTTTGTTAAAGTATTCCTGCCCTTGAACATTGCTTTACTTGTAGCCTCCTCACAATCACAAGATCTGTTATATTTGATAAATGTGACAGACACTAAGCAGTGCACAACTATTAAGGGAAATAATGTATCCTTGTAAAACATTCTCACTTAGAAACTTAAATTGTTGTTTTTTTTATTTGCTACCGGTAAGTTAATTTTCCTCATAGGCGTTAAGTATTTTGAAGCCTCTAACAGTTCTTCACTTCCAATAATCCCCAATATTTACTAGTTATCCTGTCAACAGATCTTCTGACCTAATATTTTCAGCTTAACAGACTTACCATGCTGCTATGACTGATGCTCTCTTTGTTCTGTTAGTGTAGGTGGACAGAAATTACTAAATAGCTTTGCACTTCTGTTATAATCCTTTCATTTTCAGTTGATAGATTGAGCAGAGCTCTGAGAGATGTTCAAAGCCTGGGATGTAGTGTTAGAACCTAACTGGGAATCACTGATCTAGAGGATAAAGTTCAAATAAAACATGGAAATTTGCAGTTGAATGGTGACAAAATTAGGGAAAATCTGAGTAATCCCAAAACTTTAACAAATGGAGCTAAATACTGTGTGTTGCGTTTTTCTAAACTTTAGGATTGTCCTTTTTTTTCACTCCTCATCCCAGTAGATTAAGACATCCTGCCTCCTCTGCAGTCCTGTCTGTTTGTTTGCTGAGCAATTTAAAACCACAGTAATTAAACTCCACATCCTGGATCCCCCTGTTCCCTTACTGAAACACTGACTCCTCCTCCCACACTTAACCACAGTTTTAGAGTTTTAACTATCATCACACAAAGATTTGTCCCAAAGTTTAAAAAATTTAAAGCTACAGTGTGTAATAATTACAGGCATATAAATTCAGAAATTTAATATATTATACATAACTATGTTATTTATCATCACCTATGAGCTCAGCCTTTTAACCATAATATTTGCGTTGCCTTAGAATTCGTTATTTATAATTACATAGGAGCGGGTCTCGCAGCCATGGAGGCTGACATCTTTGCGCTACGGCAGCGCAGAGGCAACAAACTAGCGATTGCGAGATCTCCCATGACGCTCGAAAATAACTACGGCAAGTTGAGAGAGATGAACTGAGACGGTACTGAACAGTAGATGGCAGTATTATGCCTGAGAAGCGTTTAGTCTGCCTGAAACCAAAGAAGAAGAAGAAGCAGGTATACTGCGCCTCGGTAACAAGAAAGGTGAACAAGGCGGCAGGCGTGAGTGACTTTGCAAACTGTTTGGCACTGTGTGGCCAAACATCAGACGAATGGAGGATCATGCCTACTCTGTATCACAACGAAAAGCGGCGGACACCGAACCCCCGTCATCTAAGAAGCGGAAACACGACGAGAATAAACGCAAGAGTGACAAGAAACGACAAAAAACACGGATCAACATTGGCACGGCATTTACACGATGGAAGTCACTGATGGAGGAAAAAGGTTTTCAAAGTGACGCTCAAGTTGCCAGTTTTCTCTTGGACAGGTAATTAATCCTACACACACAATTGTCTAATATCACTGCAGTTTTTGGAGTACAGGATGCTCAGACCTGTCTAAAACAATAACATGCTGCGTGATGATGCTGTTACTCTCCAGTATACTTATTCAGCAACGTCCCTGACGTTTCACAGGTAATGATTCAGTAATTTTCTGTAAAATAATTTTCTGGATATATACCTCGGTTACTTCTCTCCGGCTCCTTTGGAGATCTTCAAGCCTTTCCTCCTCTGCTCTCACCCCGCTGGCTCCCCTCTCTCGCCTGGCCCCAGCTGCACGCTCACCCCGGCCTCTCTGCCCTCTTCCTTTCCCTCTTCCTTGCCTTGTAACCCCCGTGCCACAAACAAGACTTGGACTCTGTAAACGGGGAATATATATTCTTCCAGCGAACACAATCTCGCTGTTAAACTAATGACTACAATTCCTTCGTCTGTTTATATCACCATGCAAAGCAGCTCACCAAAACGTCACAACGACGTAGAAAAAATAACGGGTATATTTATTATCTTAAGTCTACATGAAATCTATACCCTACACAGACTAATGAAATACTATCTGTAAAATTATCTATGTAAACAAACCTCATCACTTGAGAAGGTAGGTGATGCGGACGTCGTGGAAGACATTTTGTCCCGTAACGCTCGCCGTACTGTTGGGGGGGAGAAGCGGTGGGGGGGGAGACGTTCATGTTGCTGCAGTCTGCAGTCTGACCGCTAGATGTCGCTGAAAATTACACACTGTAGCTTTAAGTTCTGTTGATCTCAGTTAAAGAGATGCAACATAAGTTGTCGATTTGCTTTCCCTTTGGCTTCATTTTTGTTCTATCAACAAAGCTGATTGCAGGAAGGATCTAAGGAAAATGCTATTTAACCCTGCGTGTAAAACCTTCCCTTTTTTGGGTCATTTTTATTGTCTTTTTTGGATCTATTTTTTCCAAAAGGAGAAAAAGAGAAGGTGAACTAAAGCAAATTAATTGAGCAAGCAGCAGGGGTATTAAAACGAGCATCGTTATCCCTCCACTTAATGATAGGTGTGAGGCCACAATGCCATGGAGCTGGCCTTTTTTTACTGTTTCTAACTTGCTATCATGAAGTTTTCTGCATCTGACAAAGCCTTGATAGTTTTCTGTATCGTCCCTTATTCTCTGTCCAGGTCTCTGGTTTGATCTAGACATTTCCTACGCAGGCTCCTTTCTCATGACCCTAGAAACCAAATTAAACCTGGCTCGCCTTGGAAAAGAAGGCGAAGGGCTCGGGGAGCATGGAAAAGAATGGTGAGGATTTTACTTATGTTTAGTTCATTTAATCCTTATTTTTGACCTTCTGGTTCTCAAACCCATCTGGCTTGGAATTTGAACACATCTTGACAGGTTTCAACCACAAACATCAGTGTGTTTTACTGGTATTCTATGTGATGGAATAAGATCAAAATTGGAAAACCAAACAAAATATGTAACATGCTTTATTATATCTTTTAATATAAAGCAAATCTGAACAATATAGTGTTTACTCTAAATACCCTAAATCATTTTTCACAGCTAAATGTCTTTAGAACTCTGCAAGTTAGTAAGGTAATGCATGAGATCTGCAGCTCATGTTCAGTAACTTGTACAGGACACCCTTTAGTCCACAAATATGCCCTTTATGGAAGATTTAAAGCAAGGAGGCTATAGATTGAACAAAACCATAAGAAGTCCAATTTGATCTTATAAAACAGCCGCATAGAGACGGTAAAAACCTTGGATGGAGATTCAGCTTCCAGCTGGACAACAACCCTACTGATCCAGGCACATTCAGGTGTTGGAATGGACCAATCAAAGTATCGACCCACTTTCAGGCAGGACCCTATGGCAGGGGGTCTGCACCCTTTCAGATCCAAAGAGCCATAAAACTGCAAGCTTAGCTGAATAAAATTCATTTCAAGTCAAAAATATTACATATTACCATTAAACCTTTGTTATAGGAAATCTTATGCCATTTTTATAATTTGCTGATAAAAGTTTCATAAAGAGGAAGCCTTGGTTTTTGGATTTTCTTTAATAGGATACTTTTTTTATATATAAAATGTAAACATGTTGTTTCTAAGATAATGACAAGAAATAAAGATCTAAAAGTATATTACCTATATGATCCCATTCTGTGATGAAAATTGAATTCAAATGTTCTTTAATAAACCTGCTAAAGCTTTTAAGAATGGTATTTGTTAAAGGTACAGTGGAGGATGTTATTTTTCCAGGTGGATCATCAAAATGATTGGTCCTCCTAATTGTTAATCATTCTTGTGATATGTTTACGTAAGGCCGTCATTTTCACGTACCGGTGGTGAGTCTGACAAAGTGGAAAAATTGCAAATCTTCTTTTTTAAATTACGCTTGTATGAGCGATGCAAACAGCAACATTTTTAAATAGAGCATGCACGAGGAGAAATGGGCTCATACATGCTCTAAAATGCATTTAATAGGCATTCCCTCTTTGGAGCAGGTAAAGGTTTGTGCATGTGAATTTTTTTCAAATGAGGGAGAGGGTGGGTCTTTTGAAAAATTTACAAAAATCCTCCATTATACCTATAATAAACTATAATAAAAACCATGAATTATCCCTTTATTGTATATCTACTATTAAGAGCCAGTTGTGGCCTCATAATAAGAACCCTGCTCTATGGTAGCAGTTGAAAACTTCTATTTAGCTGGCTGAGATACTATGCAAACCAGCCTACAAGTCAAATCCCTATTAGTTCAAGGCTGGTAAAGACATACCTCTATAATGGTTGTGCAGAATATTGCCTCAGAGGGCTGAATGGAGACAGACGCCAAACCTTTTAAATCCATATGTTCTTGTTCTTCAACTTTACAATTTTCCATTAATTTGAGCTGAAAAATGTGAGTGTGGAGTGGGAAAACAGGTAAAGCAAAGTAATGATGTTTTCTTTAGAGTTTTCGTGTTTTAGTTTCACTGTCACATAAATCATTTAAACTGTTTGAACTGGGTTCTAGCTCCATAGATCTTCACCTAGGGACATATTAGCTGCTGTGTATTTTATTTTACCAGTCCTACCCTTTTTGTGTTGACTCTTCCTCCTCCTCCTCCTCTCTGTACACTAATCCCCTCTTTGGACGCCTACACTGATGGATTTGTCCAATGAATGGTGAGTTTGGGAATGGATGCCTACAACTGCTTGTTAATGAATGAATAAATTATTTTGCTTTTTTTTTTGTTCTTCTTTGCACTTTGGTTTTTATTTTGGATCAGTGGAGGTTTACCTCCTTGGATTTATTTAGTTGCAGTTCATTGAACAGAATTGGGTCATGTCCATACCCGTGATATCATGGCCTGACCTTCAAACAGTCACTGTATGTTTGTGTTTCTGCAACAGGCCAAGGCCACGGACCTACTGTCTGGCCGACAGTGATGAGGAGTCATCCAGTGCTGGCTCATCAGATGAGGAGGATCCCCCTGAACTGCTCAGTGACAAACCGAATCTGCCTGCATCAGAGGGGTGAGTGACGTGCACACAAACCGAACTGGAACCGCTCAGATGAACGTCGACGTTTTAAAAACCCTCCAGGTTCATCCACCTACTCAGCCTCCCGGGTTTGAAGGCTTACTGCTGATTTAATGTATCACCTCCTCCCCTCCCCATCACCACCGTGGGTGCTGAGTAGCAAGAGATGCTGTTATGAATAAATGATGAACCTGACTCACTCCTTTTCTCCCCCTCCTTCTCTTCTATCTCCATCCTCTGCTCTTGTAGCTATGTAGGAGGCTACAGGCCCAGCAAGATCATGCGCTTTGTTGACAAGATTGCCAAGTCCAAGTACTTCCAGAAGGCGACCGAGACTGAGTTCATCAAGAAGAAGATGGAGGAGGTGTCTAACACACCCATCCTGCTCACTGTGGAGGTGCAGGAGTGCAGGGGGACGCTGGCTGTCAACATCCCTCCTCCCCCTACGGACAGGATATGGTATGTTCAGGAGCACAGGAAAAAACTGGGTTTATTTTGAGCATTAAATAGACAGGAGGGCTGGCATAAGAACGTAACATTGCACCCTCTGCTGGACACCTGTAGGAATGCAGACATATATTTACAAAAAAACTTGGAACATTCAAAAATGTTGCTAAGAAATTGAGCTTAAAAAAAAACATTCTTTATGTGTGCTCCTTATGCTCTTTCTTTCATAAATTGTACTTCTATAAATATGTAGCAAAAACTAAATAAAGAAAAAAACTGCATTTATATGAATTTTTTTGATTACCAAACATAGGCCTTTTATTCCACTTCATTGAGGAATAAATGTATTTTTATTTCACACAATTTTCTGTTGATTTAGCTGATAAATTCTAAATGAGTTCTATAGTTTTAATGTGAAACAGGTCAATGCATTTAAATAATTTTAGCGACCACTGAGACTCATTTGGCTTCTAAAACTCAAACAGGAGAGACCTTGATAGGGAACTCAGATTTGTTTAAAACTACAGCTTTGTTAGCGCCTACCTGTTCAGCCTGCATGTTAAACAGGTTGTTAACGGCCACTGGCAAATAAAAAATATATCCTTTCGATGTTCAGGTACGGTTTTCGAAGTCCTCCACACCTGGAGCTGAAAGCACGACCCAAACTGGGCGAGAGGGAGGTCACTCTGGTTCACGTAACGGAGTGGATCGAGAAGAAGTTAGATCAGGAGTTCCAGGTAATCGAAACTCATGAGCCTGAGAGGCTAGATGTTGAGTTCAAACAGACGTGCGTGTCTGACTCTACCAGTAAGCAGAGGATTACTGATATTGCTCGGACACGAATGCAAACTGCTAAGGGTCCCCCTGATGTCTACATTTATCTCTGCCTGACTGCTTCAGGGCTGTTGTTATAAACCATCCCCCTTCAATCAGGGCTCTAGTAAAGTACAGCACCGTTCTCAGCTGCAGATCAGGGTATTTACCATGTCGGTTTGTTAACAAAAGCATATTTTTAGTGAACGTGTTTTAGAAGCAACAAAAAAGTGTTGGAAGCTGAAAGATTTTCTTGTTCTCTTTGATCATTTTTGTGTGTAAATATATTTTAAAACAAATTATCTTTCTTTTTCTGCAGAAAATATTTGTAATGCCAAACATGGATGACATATGGTTACCTATAATGCATTCTGCCATGGATTTGCGCTCCAATGCCAACTTGACTGTGACAACCGATGCCTTGAAAGATCCAGAGCCGGAGGAGTCTGAGGTCTCCGATACGTGAGAGGTGCTCTTCTAAAAGCATCAGTCAGTGACTAAAGATTCAGCCACAGCCATGCTCTACGGTCATTTTCTCTCTCTTTCAGTGTCATTGTTTTGATAGACTGTTAGCAGTCAAAACAATGCCCCCCAAAATAGCTGGAAAACACAAGCAATTTGGTCAGCTCTCTCTTACTTTTTAAATCAATCAAAGCAAGAGGATGAAAGACAAATGTGACTCATCTGATTTCACTCTTTATTTTAGTTATCTGGCATTTGATATTGGTTCAGTCTGATCAAACACAGTTCATGGGTTGAGATGGACTACAGCATCCTCCGCTGATTCTTGCACCTAAACGAAGCAAAAAGCCTTAGGATAAATGTATTGGTTAGTGCAGTTCTATGATCTTACAGTAAAAACATTCAGAAAATGCAAAAGTTAATTTGAGTTAATTTGTTTAGAGGAGTTAAAACAATCTTGCAGAATCATTGGTGCCTTTTTATTTATGATTTATTTATGATTTATTTAAGCCAATTAATGTTCAGACAGCGATTACATAGAGGCGTATGGTTATTGCTTTATATGAAAATATGACTCAAAACAGGTCTGTGTATTATACGTTTTTTCAAGATGAGAAAAAACAGGAAAACATACCATTCTTAAAATAGATGATTAGTCGATATCTACAATCAGAGCTAAATCTAAGAACAGCAGGAACTGTAACAGGGAAGGATGGATGAGGATCTTTATTTTCTTTTCAGCGCACATATGGAGAAAGATTGTAAGGGAAGTAAAAAAAACTAGAAAACGGATTAAAAGCTGCAAGAAATAGAGGCATCTTAAAGTGGTCAAACATTTGTTCCGGAAAAGTCATACATGGTGACAAAATGATGGCTTGTAGTATTGACAGAGAAACAATAAATAGTTGTTGTCCTCTTTTTTTTGTGATTTAGCATTACTGCAATAAAAGATTAAATAATTTGATGTTTTTCATCAGTCCCAGTAATAGTTGAGGGTGCTGTAACTCAGCAAAAAGCCATTCTGATTCCTGCGTCAGCTAGAGGAACCATAATACCTGTGATGTGTAGCTGTACCTAACATGATAGCTGGACAGTGTTTACTATTTCTGTGAAGTTGATCATGAGTGTCTCATTGTTGCTGTTATGAGGATTAGCTAAAGCTGAGGCCACTGTTGAAAGAAGACTGTAAAAAAAAAAGAAGATAAATCCCAATAGGTAATTAGTTTGCTTAAAGCCTATCACCTATCAAATATACGATGCGTATTAAAAGTGTACAGAAGATTAAAAAGGATTTTGTGATGTGAAATATATCTAATATTTTATGCAACCTTTATCATGTTTAACTCAAATGTGGAGCAATCAAATCTCCTGAAAGGTGAAAGAAAAAAGGGCAACAGCCTGGTTTTAAGAGTGTAACCCTTAAAAGTTTACTTTTAATAATTTCAGTATTTTGTCTTAATCTCAAAAATTGGAAATTTGTCTAAAACAGTAAAGCTTACTTTCTGCATCGTAGCCTACTGGTTTAGTCTTTCATTTGGACTATAGTGTTGGAGCAAATTAAAGCATTTTCTTCTAAGGAAAATAAAATCTGAATAATTGTAAAAATACTCAGTGTTCTGGCAGCATTATGCTATGGGATTGCCTTTACTGTGGATGAAATTGCCTTTGTCGTGAGGATGGATGAAACCATCTTCAGTTTCACACATCAGGAGGTTTTGACCCCAGACTCCAAATCTCTTAAAAGCTTGAGATTAGGCGGGATTAAATTTTTCATCATCACAGTGAGTCAAAATAAAAGGCTACACCCAAAACAAAAGAATAATCACACCATATGAAATTAAAGTTTTGAAGAAGCTTCAGTCTAATTCTAACATGACTTCTGTGGAATTGTTTGAAGATAGTTGTGGACTTGACATGCCCTTTTGCAAGGAGAGTAAATATTACCAACTAAGGATGTTCTGTGTTGAAAGACTCCCATTGCTGCTGAGCGCTATAATTTTATCGAAAGCTTTGTTTATGTAGTATTAGTTTGGGGATGTACAAATTTATGCAACCAGTTTATTGAGCTTTTTATATTCATCCCTTTTTTCCCCCTTGGAGATATTCATTTGCGTTTCAGTAGAGTTGCTCATGAAATAGGTAGATTAAAGGTGGAAAAATTTTGTTAATTTATCATGTTTTTATCTGTTTTATCTTGTTTTTATAGATCTAAAAAAAAAAGAAAGCGTCACCTTTTATCAGCCAATCAAATCGCTGCCTGCCCCATATATGATAAGTAATGAGCAGTTTCTATTGTAGACACCAGGTCCATTAGAAATCCATCATGCTGTCATACAGCATGTTTTTTTGTTGTTTTTTTTTAATGATTACGGTTGAAACGGATTGGTGGTATGAAATGAAGGGATCTGTGAAACAAAGTGGCTCAGTTTCTCTCAGCACCCTGAATGTATAAATAAGACCTCCTCTACTCTCACAAGAGAGCATCATTCACTAAACACATGTTTCTGAGCAACATGTTTAAAAACTACGCCCAGAGTTGGTTAAAAGTAATAATTTTCTATATGTATTGCCAAAGGGTAGATGATAACATGAAGCAAATCTGTTGTCTGCTTTCTGCTCATGCAGCATCAGCAGCTGAATTAAGAGGAATCCCAGAGAGACTCTGACTGTGCAGCAGGACACTGAAAAACCTCAAATGCAGCAACATAGAGATCTGGAATTTAAAGGTGTAATGAATCTAGTTTTTATTTAAATTAAAAAAACATTCTGGATATTAGCCATATTATTTAATGTTGTGCAGTCATTCAGCTAAAGAAGAGAATTATTTATGTGTTGTTCTGTTGTGTTAAAGAGCAGCGCCGTCAATGGAAGCTTTTCCTGTCTGCTTCAGAGGTGAATTAATGTGGTTTTTTTTATGTTCATACAGGTGTACGTTGGCTTGCATATGAGGCAGAAAGTGCCTTTGAGATAATCAAAACATTCCTTCATAATGAGCCACCACGTTTTTTGTTCTCGCATCGGTTATTGAACTGTTCTTGTGCCATCGATGACATCAAGACATGCCTGTAGTTTTCAGCCTTCCTTTGCTGTTTATTTGCATTGTTTTGCTCATTGTGGATCAATAAAAATAAATTTACTTGGAAATAAAACAGTGTTCAGCTTCTTGGAAAAAAATAATATTGAGAAATTGCACCCATGTTTAGGTAGAAAGATGTGTCACATGATTCAAGTGAAAACAAGTAGGGGATTGAAAGGATGTGTAGATTTTTAAATTAATTATCTTATTAAGTTCTGCATAGCATTTGATGTTTGGTTAGGTCAAAGTATTTCAGCCAGAAACGTTTCAGAACAGCTGAGCAACTTTTAGTAAAATATCAGCGGATATATTGTGATTTTTTGAATTTTTAACTAAAATTAGGTATATTATAGTTTTGAGGCCAAAATCTGTTTGTATATTAAATTGTCAATTTGAATAAAAAAATTATTTTCTGTAAAGAATTGCTAACATTTTACTCTCAACGTGTCATTTTAACTTGGGGATTTAAATCATTTGAACCAAATTAAGTCTTGATTGCACGTTTGGATACAATTATAAAATATTGGTAATTTTACCTCGTTAATGGTTTTCAAATACTCTTTTCGTAGCCATCACTAAACCTTTGGCTGGAAGATTCCCTCCAATATTATAAGGCACTGTTTTTGCACACAATTCAAGGTAATTTCAGGTGCTAGATATAAGCCCTTTTAATCCATTTCAATCTATTTTATATGCGTTTTTGGCTTAATTTCTTTCTTAAGGTAATCCCAATCATGTGTGATTATCACCCTTCAGATGAAAGGAAACTGAAGAAGCTATTCAAGAACCTGGGAACCACAAAGGCTGCTAGAACATCAATGGTACTATCCAGTGAGAAAAACTAGACTGACATCAGTGCAGCAGAAAAACTGTTTGCACTAAGAAAGAAGTCTTGATTCATGAAGCATATTGCTGTTAATATGAATGGATAATTTGATCAAAAGCACAACCATTTAGAGGGTAAAAGTGAAACATCCATACCCCAAATCCAAGTATGTTGGTGGCAGCGTCATACTGTGGGCCTGTTTTAGTGTCAGATTAGGTTTGTGAGTTTGAAAAATTTGAATAACAGACTTTTACAAAAATCTAAGTTTAAACACAGTGACCGTTAGATTTCCCAAATATAAATGAGAACTGGCTGTAATATGGACATGACAGGCTAACAGGCTCATGGAATGATCTTCACAAGGCTGTTTAATATCTGGCTCTAGGACAGAAAACCAAGTATGCAACATTTCCAGAGCAGTATTCCAATATCTAAGAATATGGAAGACTGCTAGTACAACTGACTATGTGGAATAGACAAAATCCACAACAAATTAAAACTGAGCAAACTTTTAGAAGCTATTGGGAGTTATTGGCTGCAACACGATACTGTCAAATAATTTATAAAAGCACAAAAGTAAATACTAAGCCTGATATTAAATGTAACCGCCATAGCCTGAAAAACCACCACACAACCATTTGTAGGCTTATAACCTGGTCTTGTTTCAAGACCCACAAAAAAGGCTCAGATCAAGTTATTCAACTTAAAATTTGTAAAGTTTGAATATCTAATTGGAATTTACCATCAAATGGGATTGAAAAGATTTTTAGGCCTTCAAAAAATAAAAATGTATCATGACATTTACTTAAAAATGATAAAACCAATCTAAACTATTTTGTCAGTACACACTGCAGCCATTTGTGTCATGCTTTAAAAGAGCATCTTGGTAGAAAAATGCCAAGAAACTCCAGTTATGACAGGACTTTATTTAATCTAGCACTCATTTTGACCTGCGGAAATGGCAAAGAAACAGACCATTCCAGATCATTTAGTGCAAAGGTTGAAAAGAAAAACAATCAGACCAAGGTATGGATATAAATGTTTATTATATAGATACAATATTTAAATTCATAACCAGTCGCCTTCCTTTTGATAAGCCATCACCTGCAACAAGAAAAATGAAAAATTAAAATACAGATAAAAAAAATAATCAGACTTATAAAATGCACATGCATGCATTACTCACCATGTTATCTCTGAAATTCACGTGGGTCCAGATCCTGCAAGAATAAGGCCAACTTTTAGTGTTGTGTTGAGACGTGAATAAAGGCTTCTATTATTAGCCCAATATCAGAAATTTAAGTTGACTTCATTAATATTTCAGAAGTCTAACACGCGTAAAATCTCATCACGCAAGATCCCAACGAGATATATAGTTAAAGGCAAAAAATCTTACCAAGGCCTACCCACGCTGCTGCCACGTGAGCCGCTTGTCCATCTTCAAAGTGAGCACATTTTATTTATTAAACCTTTCAACAAGGTTATGTCATTTCTTTGCTATCAGATATGATTACAAACTGTCTATATGATACATTTAATCTAGTTTTTTTTATATACTTAGCGCTTTAGTTGAGAGCGCGTGCTCTCCCTGGCTAAAATGTCTCCGGATGAAAATGGTGCTTTTATTTATACCACATCCGGTTTGCGGAGGCGTGTTCTGATTGGCTGAGAGCCCGCCGCGCGTCCCTCCCCCCCTTCCTTCACTCTTGAGGATACGAATCCAAAAGTCCAACCTCCGCAGTGTTAATTTCAGGAAGAAGCATCTTCACGGCTGATGTCGCCGCTGTCTTTATGAACCCATCCGTCTGTAGAAGTCAGAACCGAGTTTTTTTATGTAGCGACTAACCGCTCCGGACCAGCCAGCTAGCCTGAGAGCCGATGCTAACATGGACTGGCCAGGGAGCAGAAAGGCTCTACTGTGCTGCATTACAGCCTTGCTTTTCTACGCTGCTCCCCAGCAGAAGGTAAAACAGCTATCAATATAAACGAGCACAGATGGCTTGTAATTATCGGCTTATAGTTGATAGTTATTATTTTTAGACATTTAGACAATAGTTGTCTGGAAATGAAGCTGGAATTCTGTCCATATGCTGCGTGTTGACATTACAGCCGTTAGCTAAACACGAACGTTAGCTAGCATAGCAAAGTAGATCAAATAGGCTAAAATCAACTTTTCTGACACGTTGAAACGTGTGAGGATAAATTTTACTGTTATCAGTTTTCGGGAAATGATAGGAAACTATATGCTCTTGTATTTCAAACTTTTAGATCTCTAGTACATGAAGCTGTTGAAGTTTAAGACTCTCTTGACGTTTACTTTGATTGAATTGTTTTGTTTATTTTAGCTGTTCCAAAGGCTGTGAGAAGATGTAATTAGTTGTGATTTGATTGTGACCTGCTTGGAGTTTTGTTACCATCTCAGACTTTTTTTTTTTTTCTCATCAGCAGAAATGTCCCTTGTAATGTCAAAAAGTGTTTGAATTTGACAGCTAAAATGTCAAATAATAATAAAACAATACAGTCTGGGTCATTACTTTTGATAGTTTTTTTTGTTTTTGTTAACAAATACAGGGTTTGTATTTGCAGATTTTGTACAGTGTTTTCAATATAATTTAATGCATGGCCCTGAACCAATATAATCAGTGGCTATCGGTTTACTCAAACAAATAAATACAGCTAAGCCATTTGGCTGTTTAGGATTGATAATTTCCTGGGGTAAAGTTTCTTGTAAATCTAATTCATTATACAACATTATTCATGTTTCCTATGTGATGTTTCAAATGCTTAAATAGTTTTCAAAGTAATTCGATTCATGTGTGCACAAATCACATACAGGATCCCTCAGAAATGTTTCACTATTAGTTTAGATGAAGCTATTATAGAGGTGTAATCAAAGTTTGTACAACAGTGGATGTTTTTTTTTTTTTTTTTTTTTTTTTTTTTTTTTTTTTTTTTTTTTTTTTTTACATGGTACACTACTTTGGGGGGAAAAAAAACAAACCACACATCTAAAGGTCATAAATAGAAAGGCCTAATCAGTGCATATCTAGATACAGATATTAAATATTCATTTGCTAATTTTAAAGCTTCTGATTATTTCGGGGTATTAAAGCACAGGATGTTTTTTTTTTGGAAGCACACACTACCGTTTTTAAACACTTTCTTATCAGGTACACAATTTAACACATGCATTTATTTTCGACTGTTTGATTAATAATAACTTTGTGTAATCTTCACTGGTAGATGTGTACACTTACGTTAGGCTTTAATCCTTTAGGACTTGTTACCGGGTATGCCAGTTGTATTTTTCCTTTTTACAAGGTCTGTGTCCATAACTTCAAACAGACTTGTGTCAGTTTTAAAGGCATCTGTAAATCCAGTCATATAAAACTACTATAGTACTGGTTATATACTGTGTGAGGAACATGAATCCCTTAGTGTTGGATGATAGGACTAAAGCAGTAATAATGCTCTATTTTGGATTGAGTCTTTATCAAAAGCAATAAAGGTCTCCACATGGAGACAAAGCCTAGAGACGCAGATCCCTCCATGCCACACTAGCAACTCACCTCAGCTAAAAAGCAGATTAGAGTGGCTTTATAATCCCTAGTCATGTCTCAGGTTCCTCTCTTATCCTATCAAAATAAGTTTGCAGATGTAGGTGGGTTGATGAATATTAGGCCAACAGGTTCTGATAAACATAAGAATGATTTTACTTAAATAAAAAGGCTTTTTAGGTTTATATTTTCTCTCCCCTTCGTCGTTGACACATTTCTAAGGGCGACAGATTTCCTTTGAGAGCATCAGACATCTGTGACTAAAAGGATGCAGTCGTCGGTGTATCATGTTGAAGTTTACGCTTCCTTTTACAGACTTCCTTTGGAGGTTGAGAGTTATTTAAAAACTCCGGACATTTCTGCCCCCAGTTGAAACTATTCAGTGGTCATTTTTTAATAGAATCTTATCGATGTCAAGTTTATAGAATAAGAAAGTGGGTGTTATCACAAGTGGGAACAACTGCTAGTTCTATTTTTGAAGACACAATCCTGCAAAGTTTTATTCATAAAGTTTCAATTATCACTTAAATTTTTTTTCCAATAAGAAATACTGGTTATTTGTTTGTGGAGCCCTAAATAGAAATTACTAAAAATATCTTTAATTTAGTTTCAGACTCTGCTCTTCAGCACTGGTTATAGAGTTCCTTATCTTAAAAAAAGATCTATTTTAGGTATAAAGTAGCTTTATTTTTTGTAGTGCTCTAAACTGATGTTGCAATGCATTTCCTATAACATCTAAACAGATTAGTGATAAAAAAAAATTTTTCTTGGTTCCTGTGTTGGTTTCTGCACCCAGGCAAGCTGCAACATTTGCTGCTGGAAGCAAACAAGATGATTGGTTCTAGAAAGGATATGCATTTTACTCTGGTGTTTTCTGTCAGGTCTACGCCAAACTTTGCACACATGGCTTTTTTTCCTATTTTTTTGTGCCACACGTGTCGTTTTTAAGTGTTTGTTTAAACTTGAAAAGAAAGCCGCCAGATCTAAGAGGCTCTGCGTTCGGCCCAGTTTGCCAAGTGGCAGCCTGCGTGGCGAGGTGACCGTCTACTGACCGCTGCCCATGATAACACCAGCGGCAGAGTCCCTTTTAAGCTGACCTCAATGCAATAAGGGTAAAACAGTAGATTCAGAAGCAAGGGTTAACAGTTATGTTGCACCAATTTCTGCATTCTTTAAGGCCCTTATTGTGCAATACTATTTCTGTGTAATACGCAGAATGAGGAAATGGAAGGGTGTGCATTATTTTATCCACTGCGTTACTAAGCATCGGTAAATCACTTCCATTCTGAGCGGAGAAACTGGGAAACAGATGTCTCTGAAAGGCTTTAACATATGCATCAGCTGTTGATTGTTGGTCTCCATGCAAAACTAGAGGGCCAGCAGATGTTTTGGAAGTCGTTTGTTTGCGAAACCAAGAGAGCTGTTGGGGGTAAAAAGGGACAAAAACAGATTGGTTATGACTTTTTTTCCCCCAACATGCTTGTACAGTGGTTGTGAGTCTAAAGCTCGGTGGGAACAGCCGCAGGTGCATATTATTGACACACGCCTTTGAAAAGATGTGTAAGACCACAAGGAGCGATCTTCACTGTTGTGGAAGGGATATAGTTTCTCTCTTCAGAGGATGGGAAACTCCCAGCTGTTGTTTCGCCATGGTTTCTGTTCATCTTGCATGCAGAAAGTTTTAGAGCAGTGAGATGAATAACTAAACTAAAATAAACTGCAGATTGTGAAAGGGTTATAGGCTGTCTGCCAGTGGTCACAGATACTGTTTACAGAGGACTGCGGCGCCAGTTCCACGTGTTCTTCATCCTACGGACACAAAAGACTGATGTGGCTGAATCCAGATTTTGATTTTATTCTCTTAAGGAAGGTCTTTGAATATCTGAGGGATTAGTTGTTTCCTCAGAAATCATATTTCTCAAACCAAACCCTTGGCTAGAGTAGCCTGGAGCTTATTTCTTATACTGAGGAGTTTAAAAAGTTGTACTTTCAAAACCACTTGCATTTTCAGCATGTTTTTTTTTTTTTATGCATTTAAAAAAAAACAACCCAAAAGTATTGAAGTGACTATAGTTTTTTTTTTCTTTTTTCTCCAACCTAGTGGTAATGCTGTGCTGCCTCTGTCTCAAATATTGCTGCACACCTTTAATCAGCTGGCTGAAAGATCTTTTCCTTTTTCCAGCATATTTCCATAAAAGAAAAACTCAGCTCCATTCAAATGTTCCCAGTCATGAGGAAAATAAACAGTAATGGTGTTAGGGAACCTGTTACTTCAGCCGATCGCTTGACAGGGTAATATCTGCCTGTCTGTTACTATGTCAGTCAGTAAACATTCAGAATATTCTGTTGAATATTAGACAATCTGATATTTTCTACAACTGTCAGTGGCTGGTCTACCTGCTCACATTATGGATACATCCGATCAGTTCCTGCCCCATGGTGCCATTTCAGATCCTCTGTCCCTTTTATCTGAGTAGGCGGTTAGGGGTTTGAATTGAGGAGTGCCCATATGGGCTGCCAGCCCACTATTCAGCTGTCTGTGCTAAATTTGAAGAGCTCCTTTCACTTAGTACTTGGTTGGTTATTAAAGGCAGAACCAACTTTACAAGACCTACAAGATGACAGGAATGTAGCTCCTACCCTGCAAGTAATTATCAGGCACCTGTATCCTACTAGCATGTTTAAACATCAGATTTGCAGACGCAGGGTGCTGTAGATAGAGATTACTGTTAATCTGTCATTATTTCCTTTTTCTGTAAAATGCAGGATTCTGGTGTCCTGCCTGCATCTGCCCAGTTTCTCTGCGTAGTATTTTGTAAGTTTGCATCCTTTATACGTGGAAGCAATTTGCAGTTCTCCAGAGTCTTTTAGAGGTAATGCTCTATGCCTCTGATCAATACTGTGGTTTAACAGGAACATGAGCACAGCTTCCGCTGCTTAGATTTCCATGTGGCAGAAATGTTATTCTGTTCAAAAACATGACTCAGTTTTAGATAGATGGGTGGATTTAAATTCAGAATCTCATTAAACCTGGGGATTTTAAACCCAGCCATGGCTCCACTTC